CCCGGCCCCCCCGTCCCTCCCCCGCCCCGCGGCACCGCGGCCCGGCGCCAGAGGCCCCTCAGAGGCGGCGCGAGGGTCCGCAGGGCGGGAAGGGCTGCCAGGGAGTCCCGCGGCGGGAGCTGGGATGGGAATAGGCGGGGGGCCCGTCCCGCACTCACCGCCGAGGCGCCGCCGCGGTGCGCTGAGCCCCCGTTCTTCTCAGTGCCGGGGGCGGCTCCGCCCGCCCGGGAAACACGAACCCCGGGAAGCAAAAGGCGAAGAAGCTGCGAAAAGCGTACCCCCCCCCGCTCCGCCGGCGCCGCCAAAAAAACACCACCGGGGGGGGGGAAAAAAAAACCAAAACCAAACTTTCCTCGCCGCCGTCTCTCCCTCCCCCGAGGAGCACGAACCCAAACACACCGGGACACGCCCCCGCACCGCCCCTCGCACCGCCCATTGGACGGCGCCCCGCCGACCCCCGCTGTGATTGGTCGCTCTGCCTGCTCGTCTTCTCCTTCCGCTCCCCTTTCCGCCCCTTCACGCTGCCCATTGGGAAGGGTCTCGGGGATCTATCCGCCCATTAGCCAGGATGCACGTCAATCACAGAGAAGCACCGCCTCCCGCCGCTTTTGATTGGGTTCTCGCGTCACTACACGCGCACTGATTGGCTGCACTTGCTGGCTGTCACCGGTTAGCGTTGCCCCCCTTCACATCCCTCACTACTTCCCGCCCCTTCTTCCTCTGCCAGTTAGCTGCGAGATTTGCCCCTTAAATGGGGCACTCGCTCGCCCGCTTCTACTTGTCCCGCCCTTCCGGCCTACGGATTGGGCTGTGGGTCGCATCCTCCGACTCCATTAGAGAAGGAATATGCCCGTTACACCGTAACAGTGCGGAGACCCGCCCACCGAGCCGCGCTTCTCGGCGGCCCCTGGGACCCCCCTCAGCCGAGGCGAGGTTACGTCAGTTTGTGCACTCATGTGCCGGCCGCACGGGCGGGGCGCCTGACTGGCACAGGCGATAGCGCGTATGGCCGCGGCTGTGGCCGCTCAGCGGCGCCGCGATAGGGCACCAACGCCACATCTCCGCTTCACCCCGCCCCTCGGCGTGCACGCGCGATAGCTATTGGACAGGAGAGGTGTCAGTCGTGCAGCTCGCGAAGCTCATTGGCCGTTACCTAACGCCTGCGCAGCCAACCGGCGACCGCCCTCTGATGCCACCCGCCGGATGACACAGCAACCGTGGGTTGGGGGCGGGGAAAGGCAGGGCCGTGCCTTTGATTGGTTGGTGTCACTGTCAATCTCCTTGGAGGGAGGACGGTGGGCCGGGCGATGGCGCGTGCCTACCGCGCCCCACGTGGCCCGGGCGGCTGCGCACGTGACGGGGCCCCGCGGCCGGGGAAAACTTGTGGAAAAGGCATTTGCGGTGACCGCGGCGTCGTTCCCAAATGTAATCGTTACAAATACACGCTGATCTTCGTTATTCGTGGAGTGGGCCCAGCCAGAAACTGCGGGGCGGGGGGTGGTCGGTGCGAGGCTGAGGCAGGAGCGGGCCCGGGGCCGCTTCCCTGGGAGATGGCGTGAGGGCCGGGATGGGCAGCGTTAGCCCCGGAGCGCAGAGCGGGTGCACGGCAGAACGGCCAGGACAACATGGGAGCTGCGTGAGCAGGGACTGCGCGGCACCAAGGATTGGCAGAGCGGAAGAGCAGGGCCAGAGCAGCACTGAGACAGCCCTGAGGGCAGGGCATGGATAACAGAAGCCTGTGGAGGATAAACTGGGAGCGAGAGGTTCTCCTTGTACTTAATTTCTACACTTGCTCTCATTCTCCTTATTCCCCGGTGTATTTGATGATGTTCCATGATGAGTGTCACTTGCTGACCTCGCCCAGGGCTGCACGCCAGTGCAATGCTTCCATTTGATCTCCTCGGGAGAATCCCGTTACAACCTGATCAGCAGAGCCGTGGAGCTCTGAACACAGAACTCTAGGGATGCGATGTGGCTGTCATCTCGGTAAACAGGCCTGTGGGTGTTTGCTGAAAACGTGCTCTTGTCTTGGAAGAGCCGCAGAGCCCTTCACAGGTTGGTCAGCAGCAGGAGGGACGGCTGCCAGCGCAGCAAAGCCACGTGTGCTGGTGGCACAGAGAGCAGACAAGATCCCTGCGAACTCAGGCTACACAAGTCAGTAAAGAGCAGTGAATCTTTTGATGGCTTCTCCATTCAGTAATGGTAATTGATTTTTACATTGATTGGTGGGAAAAGAGCCCCATTAATATAAATAAGATTTCATACTGGATGTGCACTTGTTACTGTGCTGCTGTAAGGAATACAAAAGGCTCTGTGTAAATCAGTATGAATTAGTAATATAACTTTTGGATGCACTTTGCCTCTCTTCCTCATTGTTTATTCAATGTGTGGGAACTGTCTGTATCCTGTCTCTCCACATGTATTTTTCATGTTGTAAGCAGAAATCACTAATACACCAAGAGTACAGATTGCAGGCTTTGGGAGAGAAAGATCTGTCCAAGATGCTGCCCTTGTCTTTGCCATAAGTAAAAAACCCCAATACAATAATTTCTCTTTAAATTCTCTTTCCCCTTATTGGTGTTCTTTTGTGAGCTTTTCTTCCTATGTTTTGCTCAGGGTTTTGGTGTGCATCTTGCAGGTAAAGGAATATGATTTATTTTGCATAAGCCTAGGGAACCAGGTATTTTAATTTTCGAAGAGCAAAAGATAGCACTCTCCATTGTCCCTGTAGTTTCACACTATAAAACAAACTTGAGCTGTAGAAAGCAAGCAGATTTTGTTGGTTTCTGTGAAGTATAGTGCATGACTCAGGAGTTCCCAGCCAGGTTCACCTGTGAATTTGGAAGGAATCACAGCTCCCACACAGGTTCTGGTTCTCAAAAAGTCCAAATGCTTAGGAACAAAATGGTTCTTCCTGGGTTTTTCATACCTCCCCACTACCAATCCAACCCAAAAATGGGATAGTGTGGGTGGACAGTGACAGTGCATTTTTTCATCCACTGGGTGTCAGTATTACACTGCCACTGTGCTGCCTTTCCAGGTGCTGGGAAAGGTTGGATTTCTTTGGGGTGAAAGTCTTTCATTTCTGGTAGAGGAGTGATGAGAAAAACCATTATAGCTTTGGGGAGTGGTCTCACTGCAGGATGAGCGTTCCCTTTTGCTCCTGCAGGAACAGGGTGGGATCCTGCCTGCAGACATCTCAAGTATCAAACCTCACACAGCCACCCAACCTTCAGAGCTGGGGTCAGTTCCACAGCCTTTTCACTCTTAGGTTATGAAAATGTATGACCTCTTCTTTTTTAAAATTAAGTTTATTTGTTATAAATACTGAATCTGGCAGGGAGACAGTCTAGAATAAGCCTGCATGAAGGTACTTCTCTAAACAAAGAGTGCTGTCAGCTTAGGACAGTTCTGGATGCAGGAATGAGAGAGAACAAGAATTTAGAAACAGCATTGATATCTGGAGTTTGTAATCAGGGTTTTTGACACTGGTTTATTATTTCCAGAAGTTCCATGGCATGATTTTTTATAGGCTTGCTAGGTTTTTAAATCAGTGTACCCAAATGAACTCTGGATAGTCAGTCACTAAAAACTACTCATATTTTTAGAAAAGGTCTTTGCTAACCCTGCCCTTTTTTCTGCTTTGGGTGCACTAAGCAGCAGCTGTCTTGTGGACACAGAAAGGACCCAACTAGTTACCTGCGTGGTGATTAAAGGAAAGGTTACTTTTTGGAAAGCCATAGTCAGCTGTGTGCTGATGCTCTTTATGGTGTCCTCTGTTTAAGTGTTTTCATGTGGAGTGTAACATTTAACATGTGATACAATGCTGCACTTGATCTGTGTCTGAAATGCAGGCAGCACTGAAAAAGCCATTGTTTAAAAGATGATTCATAGAAAAAGTAATAAAAGAATTGATGTTCTCTTGTTTTATATAAACACAGGCTAATTAGATTATTTTCTTACTTACATCTTTCCCCTGGAAGCTGCTTTTTAATCCATCCTTTTTCTAGAAGACTTCAGGGAAGTTTCAGCAGGCATATGGCATCAATATATGAGGGGAATAAAACATAAATATTTACAAAGATTTTGACCCTGTTTAAATACCTATTATCCTTTTCTAAAAATATTTATCCTAATAATTACTTTCAGCAGAGATACCTGTTAAGGATTCAGCATTTCCTATTTCCTTCAATTGAGTGGTGAGAAGTTTTCTCAGCCATTCTTGTGCATCCTTCATGGGGCTTTTCAGGGAACAAGCAAGAGAGAGGAAGTAATACTTCATATGCCTGGAGCTGTAAAAATCAGGACAGAAAAAAGGAATTTGTGTTTAAAATAGAGAAGAGGAGATTTCAATGTGATTATTTTTTCCTTTCTAAGCCACCCATAACAGCAAAGAAACACAAAAGAGCAATTTAAGTAAAAAGAAAGTAATGAATACTAGAATTAAGTTAAATAGCAAGAGGAAATTAGGGAGATGTCAAATGTAATTTTCAAATTTGTATGTTAGTCACGTGATTAGTGCTAACATTCCTGCTTTACAAAAAACTGTAAAAATATCTTCAATGCCTGTAAGTGCTCAGGACCTGAGCTTTAAGTCCCAGTCAGACACCTCCACATCTCTAACTGCTCTTAATATAGTAGGCTTATTTTGACATTACCTATTTTTATGTGTCATACCCAGGAAAGACATGCAGCTGCAGTAGAAACAAGAGCAGTTTATGCATGTCTTGGGCAAAGTGCTCAGCAGAAGTTTCAATTTGTTTTGCTGTCATGCTCACATTATATTGTTGGAAGGAAAAGGGAGAAAGAATTTTTGTCAGCCCACAGCTAAAGGGGAAAAAAATGTTAATATGATGGCAGTGGTTTTAAATAGAGAATAATTCATGATACGACTTCATTTTGTTTTTCCTGGAGGCAAAATTAAAACAATGCTTCATTAACATTATTTGAAGCTATTTTAAATACAGCTATTTTCAGCAAAACAATGCTAACATGTGGAGGTTTTTTAGTGAAAAAAACAGACAATTAAGAAAATGTTTTGAAAAGTATTGTAATCTTTAAGGAGTCTCTTTTTGCCTTTTTTTCCCCCAACTATTTTCAGTCCTGAAAGTGAACCAGCACACGTATAGGAGTTATCAGCTAGCAGTTATGCTGAGGCTAGAAGCAGTGCAGCTCTACAGATTTTAATTAACTTTTAATGTTCCCATTCCACCAACTTGGTTGGTGCTGTGATACTCACCATCAGTAGCAGCCTGTGCAAAACTTTTGAGTCCCCTTTAGATGAATCTAAATAGAAACTAAAGTATAGGTAGGTGAAAGCAATTCTAACATCATTTATATACTCATTTATGTCACCCAGCTCCATCCCAACAGAAAAATCAGGTTTTGAAGAAAAAAGTGGGCTGGGCACATTCCTGCTAGTTCCTTCCCTATGGAAGAATAGGAGATATGTATATGCCCTTGCTTTTGCAAAAGGGAAATCACACAGGTATGATCAATCAATCAACTGATGCTGGGGAAAGCTCCCAGTTTGTCCCAGCAAACTCTTATTAGCACAGCAAGACCACGGGATTATTTTTTGTTTCTTATATTATTATTATTTTCTGGGAGTTGTATCTGTGTAGTGATTTAAGATGGCAGCTTTCCAAGGCTTTGCTGTGGTTCTAAATTAATTGAGTATGCTGTTTAATTTTTTAACTCGAGCTTTTTCCTCATATTCAAAAGGGCTCCCGTTGTCCTTTATTATTAATGAGATCAAAGCAAGCAGAATGGCTGCCATTTCTCCTTAGTCTGGGAGTGAAACTATCCCTAGCAGAAAAGCACAGTGCTGTCTGCACTTGTCAGCAGCACTGAAAGCAATACCAACAGCAAAGCGTCTGCCTCTCTTTGCTCTGCTGAGCTGGACACAGACAGTGAGCAGCAATAATACTCTACCAGAAAAGCAGATGAGGAAACAAGGATGGCACCTGCAGAGCAGGGGACAGACTGAAAAGTTACCCTAGGGTGGGGCAATGGACTGTGCAGAATACAAGGCAGAAAACCTGAGGAGAAAGGAAAAATTTCCTTTTCTAATATGTGGAAAATTGTGTCTCTTCCAGGCAGCCCAGGCGAAAAACAAACAACAAACAAACAAACCAATCCCCCCTTCCCCCCCAAAAAAAACCCAACAAAACAAACCCCAAAAATCCCAAAAAAAACCAACCAAACAACCCCCCCCCCAAAAAAAAAAAAAACCAAAGCCACCTCCAAACCACAACAGTTACTATCAGTTTTGATTAGGAATTCAAAGATACAGTATAACTATTTGTACTGTCATACACGTTAGAATGTGGTTATATTATTCCCCCTCCATGGCTTCCTTCCCAGAGTTTCCAAAACTGGTGTTTCATGGGGAAGCATCCAGTTAGATTTTTATAAAAACCAAAACAACAAAAAACTCACCAGAAACTCCATGCATATCTGGGTTTTAACTGGACAGCTCACTGACACTTGCAAAGGGGCCAGAGTCCAGGGTGGCAGGACCCGAGGACAAAAAGCGAGAATAATTCTGGAAGGGAGCATCATCAGTGAGACAGAGGAAAAAACCTGCTGAAAGACATCATAAAACTGAGATTGGTAGAAAAATGTGGTTACAGAATGAAGGTGATGGTGGGAAAAAATGTGGGGATCTTATGTGGCAGGGAGTGGGAAGCTCTTTGGGAGGTTTCTTGGATCGTGGACCAGCATTGCGTGCGGAAGGGCGTGTTCTGTCCTCACACGGAGCTCTCGGGAGCTGCGCTCTTCTCCTCACCCCATCAGCTGCAGGGTGACCCCGGCCAAGACCCAGCAGAGAGAGCTGTGTGGGGAGGCAGAAGGGACATGATGACAGCAGCGGGGTGTGAGTGCCAGGAGGAAGAGCTGTGAAGCAAAATGGCCCAGGGTCACCCTGTGTGAGGTGGTGTGAACCCTCAGGAAGGCAGCAGGAGCTGTTCCCATGATTTTGCCTCCAGCAGCTTGGGAACAAAGAGCAGCCACGCTGGGTGAGCCAAGCTCTTTTTTCTTTACTACTCAAAGCTGATTACTTGCAAACCCCATGACTCACTCACTGTCCCAGCTCTGCTTCTGCAACAGTTAGCAGCAAAGTCAACCCAGGTTTGTGAGTATGGCTTTCTGTGTCACCTCCTCAAGGGAAATCTGCCAGCAGCTTCCCTGTGGCTGCCACGGGATCAGTTGCCAGGTGTTCAAGGTGGGGATGTGTGGGCAAAGCCCTCAGGACCACGCCTGGGAACAATTACTGGACCTCCTGGTACTGGGAGATGATATTTTTGGACACACTGATAAATTGTGTGCAGGCACCACTGGAGAAAAAAGACGTGTTTGCTCCGGAGCAACAGTACAACAGTACTTGGTCTGCTGCCCTATTTTCTTTTTGCATGAGGAAGGAGAGGTGATCAAAATTCCAGTGGATTTCATCAAGCACAAATGGCCCTTCTAAAAACACCATGTTCTCTCTTCCTCACTTCAGATAAACCCAGGGCTTTTCTCCTAGTCCTGCCCTAAAGAGACTTTTCGATTGGTAGAGGAAAGTCAACATTATATTGAGGCTAGTTTTCTTTTTTCCACTGAAAGAGAGTAAAATGTTCTTTTATTACTGCAGTTCTGGATTCAAAGACCTTGCTAAAAAGAAAGTGTATTCCCTCTCAAGGGCCCTCAGCAGCTCAGTTCCAGTCTGTTTTCTTCCTCTGCTTAGATCACACTTAATTTCCGCTGCTGGATTGCTTATTGTCACTGAGTATCTTATACAGCCTAAGCCAGGCCTGGTATCTGTTGTAACCTATGGTCCTGCTTCCACAGGGTAGTGCTAATGCTCAAAGAGCAAGGTAAATATGCACTTAAGTTTCTTCTCCAAGATATTCCATACCAGAGAGGTGTTCAAGAAGACAGGGAGACTGTTTATTCGGGGAGGGGGAGCCCAACAGAAGACTTTCTGTTGCAGCAATTGCTTTTGCAGCAATATTCAATGCAAACACCCTACAGCATTTCCAAGGGTGTCCTCATGTTAACAACATTGCTGGGCATGGGTGAATTCCCAATTACTTATACCAAGCACTACCTATGTGAAAGATTTTGAAACAAGATGGAACCTGCCTGGAACAACACCCTAATTTTGGCTGCAGGGTGCAGCATCTGCAGCTGGCGCCTGTGCTTGTCTGTGTCTCTCTTTGTTCTTGTGAGTCTGTCTCCTTGGATGCAAAGAGGAAGCTGTTGGTCATACTGGGTTGTCAGTAACTCCAGTTTAAATCCAGAGTAACCCCACTGGGTGCAGGGAAATTAATTTGCAGAAGCGTAACTTACCTCTGTGGCTGAATCAACACCTTTAAAAGTGGTATAGAAATTGGTGAGAAACCAGTAGAGATAGTCCCAACTTTTCCTTCCAGAAAACTCTGATTTGTTGAAATGCTGCAGTCATAAATACAGAAGAAAGGAAGTGAATATATTACAGTGTCCTCATTGTAAAAGGGCAATGGCAGGTGCTTTGATAAACTAGGAGACAGGTCATTATTTCAGTGCAACGCCCATCAGAACACCCGCCTACTGTAGCCCTCCAAAAAGTTATTTTTTAACTTCCTTCCTATAAGATTTGTTAGACTTTGAAGGAGAACATCAAACAAGTGGTAGCATAATTTACCAAGTCCTAGAAAAGTTATATTGGTGAATTGCCTTGCATTGTACTGAGGCAATGGACTAGATGACCTAGTGACCTTTCCCATTTCTGATGTCTATGATTATTGCTGTTATACCTCGGGACACTAAAGAGAGACATTTTCTTCCTTTCAGTGGCAAAATGTCACTAATGGCCATGCTAAATCAGAGCAATTGATCCTTCTGCAGATGTGTTGTGCACTTAGCAAGGCAGCTATAGATGATCACGCTTTGTTTAGATT